TATGACGTCAAAGTACTACTTCCCCAAAAGCACCACGGGTTGTCGACAAATCAATGTCTTGGGTTTGACCTAGAAGAGCATCACTCTAGCTGTTACCGGCTTTTGGGGAAATTATCGAGACTCCATGGTTTCAGGACGCACTCGAAGCTCTTGAATTGATAGCGGACCAGTTGCAGATAAATCTGGAAGAGACCTCCAGCCCCAGCACAGGCTATTATAGGCGGCCCGTTGATAGGGCGCGAATCATAGCTATAGATTCGTAGATCTCACAGGTCACCAAATGTTTTTGGGTGTTCCTTTTCCCGTGAGGAAGCTTCCAGATTTATCTGCAACTGGTCCGCTGTCAATTAAAGAGCTTCGACTGCGTCCTGAAACCATGGAGTCTCAATAATTTCTCCAAAAGCCGGTAGCAGCTAGAGTCGATGCTCTTCTAGGTCAAAGCCAAGACATTGATTTGTCGACAACCCGTGGTGCTTTTGGGGAAGTAGTACTTTGACGTCATATCTCGTTTATTTTGAAAATGCGATTGTTCTGTTCACCAAGCTTAATTTCCTACTTTTGTTCCTCTTCCGTGCAGGTTATATTTTCTGCTGCTGGGAATTCACGATTGGACTCTATGAGGTTTACTTTTACTGCTCCTTGAACTTGTAGAACTGTACACTTGCCTCGTAGGACAGTGCTATTCATCTGCAAGGTGAACGGGTCCGCAACTGTAACGGCGTGCCACTTTCATCGGTCAAAAGTGCACGGGAATGGGTCTTAAGGTTAGTGATACACGGTGCAGGCTCCATACCCTGGCTGTGCTATCAGTGCGCAGCACTTGCGCAGCGGTGGAGAAGAAGCGGAAGTGAGAGGGAACTGACAAGTGGAGCGCTTGCCTACGGTTAGGCGTGGGGCAGCCCAGGTGGTCCAGGGAGGTGCCACCTGGCTCTCATTACCCCATAGCCACGTTCCTGTGTGCTTTGTACCGGAGGAAAAAGCACACAGAAGCGTGGCTAGAGGGTAATGGAAAAAGAAAAGGAGGAAAAAGTGGCCCCTGCAGCTGCGGACCCATTCACCATACACATAGCAAGGAGCAGGGTCCACGATAGTGAGTGTGCTAAATGCTTCCGAGGTCTGGATCATCAGAGACAGGTGCGCTCAGTATTCCTTAGCATTCTGAACCACCTTTCAGAAATCAGTCTGCTTATTTATTGCAAATATGATGACCTAAAAATATATGCAGCTCTAGAAACCATCAGCTTCAGCCTGCCCCACCAAGCTCTTCACGCAGTTCACAATCGCTCTGCTTGCGGCGTGCCCTCGAGGCATTGGTCGAGGTCCTCAACCCGTAGCGGCCTGGCGTAGATCATCTCAACGGGGAAAGCCCCACCCGTTCTCCTTAGCTGAAAACATTGGACGAGTACAATAATCATTCTGGCAATCGACTTCAAGCCTTGGGTAAATTTCCACTTTGGAAGGGTTAACTTAAATATTCAGAACAATTCCGCTCCATAGCACAGAGCGGGGGTGGTTCAGGAATACAGCGCGCCGAGCAACTCCCCAACGTCATCGAGCATAACGAATGACCCTGCGTTTCTCTGGGCCTTTATCCAAAGGCTTCTTCTGCTTGGATTATCTCCAAATGATTGACCACCTTAGAGAACGAACCTGTTTTTCCTAGGTACCCAAGATTGAGCCCTAACGAAATGACGGTTTCGCAATCGTGAGCTGACCTGCTTCCTGCAAACTGCATTGTGAAGGCCAAAACTTTTTGAGAACGGCGCAGTTTAGCGGCGAGGGGCATTCTGCACTATCGCTGCTTCACTAGTTCCGGTTTAC